TCCACGTGCCCAAATAGATGACTGATGGGTTGGTTTCAGAGTTCTATAAGGGCTTCAGGCTTTAGGGCTTTAGGATTTGGGGTTTAAGGGTTTAGGGTTTAAGGGTTTAGGGTTTAAGGTTTAGGGTTTAAGGGTCTAGGGTTTAGGGTTTAAGGGTTTAGGGCTTAGGGTTTAAGGGTTTGGGGTTTAAGGGTTTAGGCTTTCGGGTTTAAGGGTTTAGGGTTTAGGGTCTAGGGAGTCTAGGGTAGAGCAAGCAAAGTATGGTTCCATGATGTGCCATGTGGGATTGGATAGAGGGTTCTTAGTTTGCTACAAGCAATTCTACAGTGTGCCTAATTAGTCCTTCTAGACGTAAATGCAGGCCGCAACGCTGAGTCCCAACACTCGTTGTTCAGCCTCGTACCTAGGTTATCCCCGCCCAGAGTGGCAAGAAATACCAACCTCTGGGCCAGAAGATCCTGTACTCAGATCCCCGATCCTCGAAACTTCTGCCGCTCAAACCGTGTGGTTCCACCCGCGGAACTTCAAACCGATGCAAGCTCAAGCCGCACATCCCAAGCCCCTACCTCGGGCCACAACCCCTGAACACTGATGTCTAGCTAGCTAAAACTTGAGAGCCTTGAGAGCCATGTGTTGCATGTCGTTACTGTAACTGTGTTGATTCCGTTCAGCAGGATGTGGCGACGCGACTAAGGCCAAAAACATGCTGTCGCGTTTAGCCAAGTCCTGGCAACAATAAGACAGACACTTAAACGACCTGCATGATGAAACCTTGAAGCCGTTTTGATTGAATTTCATTATCTCGGATGAAGACCCGTTCAGCAAAAAATCGTGCACACTTATAGTCCTTACATAGTGAAGTGCTGGTATCCGCTATGATCTACCTTAAGGCCATGAGGATCATGATGCTCCAACTTTCAAGGAGCCCTTACAATGACCCTTCAACGCAAACGAACCCCGAACCGAAACCCCTAAACCCTACCTGGGACTCTGATTACCTATAGTTTTCTGGGTTGTACCCACGAATTAAGGGGTAATGGCTGCTAAACTGTAGGTAAAGAGGGTTACAGGTAAACTCTATACCCTGAGTGTATATAACCGTAACCCCCCAGGTACCTACTGTATAGGGTACCGGAGCCCCTAGGGCCCTATATATTACATTAGGTACCTGAAAAGTTAGGGAAACTTTAGTAGCTCTGCTACTCTTCAGGTGGTCGGGCACCAGGCCAGATCTCCCAGGCCTCCCCTGGAATTGGGCTTAGGGGGGTTTGGGGTTTTAGGTTTTGGGATTTGGGGTGAGGGTTTTGGGGTTTAGGAGTTTCGGGTTTTTTTTTAGGATTTGGGCCTCAAGGGCCCAAGGAGAGATGGAAAGAAAGCACCTCCAGCCCTATTGGTCATGAGGGCAACACCTGCTAATAGGGTTTTGGGCTTTCAGGGTTTAGGTTTTTAACCCTAAACCCTAAACCCTAAACCCTAAACCCTAAACCCAGGGTTTTAAGGGTTTTAGGTTTTTAGGATTTCAGGGTTTTAGGGTTTGGAGCTTCAGGGTTTTAGGGGTTTTGGGCTTTGGGGTTTTAGGGTTTCAGGGCTTTTAGGTTTAGGGTTTTAGAGTTTTTGAGTTTCAGAGTTTCAGGGTTTTACGGTGTAGAGTTTTAGGGTTTAGGGTTTTAGGGTTTAGGGTTTCAGGGTTTAGGGTTTTAGGGTTTAGGGTTTCAGGGTTTAGGGTTTTAGGGTGTACGGTTTGAACGTTAAGGGTTTAGGCTTTACGGTGAGTAAACTCCGAAGACCTGATTGCTGCGAGGTCTTAAACGTGGCATTTCGTAATAGTTATCATCTAACCGTGCTGACTTCTTGGCGCACTGTTTCCACTTTTCAGGGTAGCTTTTTGGAGGCCAGGGACATGCAGCATTTCCGTAAGGATCCTGCTATGGAACGTCTGGGGATTCGGGCAAGAGTTGTGGGTTCTGGACATGTAGAAGCCCGAGTAACCACAAATGTTATTCAATGTAAGGGCCTAAATAATTCCCAATACTATCTTGGGGGTTCCTTATTAGAATTGTAGTATAAGGGGCCCCAAAACCCTATTCTAAGCATAAAGCCCCTATATTAATGCTATTTATCGAGGTTTCCCGCATGTCAGAGTGCAAAACCGTCCAACACCCTCACAGGCTTCCCGGCAGGGTTGGGGAGTTTTTGGGCCTGTGGTGTGTAGGGGTTTTGGGTTCAGGGTACGGGGCTTTAGCGTGTCTAGGGTTTGTGGTGTTAGCATGCCGGGTTGTAGGGTTTTGGGTTTCAAAGGGACCCCATTCAACACGAGTGACTGTTCGCTGTGTACACTTGGACTGTCAGGGATGTTGTCGCAGGCTCTGACTTCGTGTCCAAAGCTTGCATGACCCCTAAACCCTAATCCCTGAACCCTACTGGGTTTTCGGGATTGGAGCTTTCTGGGCTTCAGGTTTGGGCCGGGTGAGAAAGTCGGGTGGCACCTTGTCGCGGTGTGGATGTGGAGAAGACCATGGAGACGCGATACGAACGCCCGGGGGAATCATTCACTCCAACATGCCTTGTGGGAGACCTTAAGACGCTGATCCTCAGCTCTTCTCATCGCGAGCGACGCAACAGCTTTCTCCATAGTTTGACGAAGAGCTGATATCAGATATTGAAACGTCTCATGCACGCAGACGTCGATGACGGGGGTGGGGCGTTCACTCCGGAAGAAAGAGAGCAGCTCATTTTGGAAAGCATGCCCTTTCCTGGCACGCCAGTCAATGAGGCTGAGCGTCGAGCAGCATGGAGAGTCATGAAGGCATATTATACTGGCCCCTAAACCCTAAACCCCTACTGGGGATCCTGGACCCCAACATCGATAATTCGAGATCTGATAGCCGCAAATGGAACATCCGACAACCATCCTTTCAACTTCTTGGTCTGCATGCCTAAACCCTAAACCCTAAACCCTAAACCCTAAACCCTCGATGCCCGGGAACCCTAAGTCGCTCAGTCATAAACCGCTGGAGCCAAAGGACAGGCTATCTAGCGCCAAATTTGTTTTCAACATGTTGATTTGTGGTGTTCGGAAAGTGTCCTAAGTACCTATATGGGGGATAGTGACCCACACCATAATAGCAATTCCTGCTAGACAAGCGTACTTTCTGCGATGTAAGTGCTTATGACCCCTTGATGTAGTGAGGTCAAACGCATCTTCCACACGGATCGGGCCTTCGCAGCTTTGTGCAGCGACGGCAGCCCATCGCAGATTTGAGGTAGGGTTTAGGGTTTAGGGTTGAATTAGGGATGTATGTTTGACGGTGTTCCGCGTGAGTTTTTGGGGGTTTCTAAGGCCCCCATACAACTTTCGTTGTTGGAAATCTCATGGGCAAACCCTAAACCCGAAACCCTAAACCCTAAACCCCCGAAGCCCTAAACCCCTAAATTCCCAAAACCGTAAGCCCCTAAAACCCTAAAACCTTAAGCCCCTAAACCCCTAAACCCTAAAGCCCCTAAAACCCTAAACCCCAAACCCCTAAACCCCTAAACCCTAAACAGCTAAAACATTAACCCTAAAACCCTAAACCCGAAACCCCTAAAACCCTAAAACCCAAACCCCCTAGAGCCCTAAAACCCTAAACCCTAACCCAAACCCCCTAAATCCGAAACCCGAAACCCAAATCCCCAGGCCCCCCTAAACTTCTAAAACCCGAAACCCTAAACCCTAACCCCTAAAACCCCCCTAAACCCTAAACCCTAAAACCCTAAACCCTAAACACCTTAAAACCCCAAACCCCTAAAGCCCTAAAACCCCTAAAACCCGAAACCCCTGAATCCCCTAAAACTAAACCCTAAACCCTAAACTACAAAAACCCCAAAACCCTAAAGCCCCTAAAGCCCCTAAAACCCCTAAATCCCGAAACCCTAAACCCCAAAACCCTAACCCCTAAACTCTAAACCCGAAACCCTAAACGCTAAACCCTAAAACCCTAAAATCCCTAAAACCCTAACCCCTAAACCCTAAGCCCGAATTCCAAACCTCCCTAAAAAACGAAGGCTCGGTGGTTTGCTGGGGCGACCAGCTCTGTGGAGGAGATCCGGGAGAGGCTGGGTTTCGGGCTTTAGGGCTTTAGGGATTTAGGGTCTAGGGTTTCGGGTTTTAGAAGTTTAG